CTAGGTAAAAATAACAATTGTTTTCATGACCTAAAATTCTATAATTTTATTTGACTAAAAAATGAGAGAGATTTTTAAATGTGATTTTGAACTGTAAATTCAAATTAGAATACAATAACCAAAATTACATAAAATCACATCTTATCCGTCTCTCTGCTGGAGAGTTAAAATACCTTGCAAAGTGGAGACAAATGTAACTTTTATGTTCTAATTTAAAATGAAGAGAGTTGGAGTCACCTGTTTTAATGTCAAAAAAGAGGCTAATATATCAGCTGAAGTTATAATGCTCCATAATTTTTTTTGTAACTGTTATCAATAAGATCCCATCTTTTGTAATAAAATAAATGGAACTTGAGATCATTATGTTAAGTGAAATAAGCCAGGCACAGAAAGATAAACATTGCATGTTCTCACTTGTTTGTGGAATCTAAAAATCAAAACAACTGAACTCATGGATATAGAAAGTAGAAATAAGGTTTCCAGAGTCTGGGTAGAGTAGTAGAAGCCTGAGGGTGGGGAGGTGGGGATGGGTAATGGGCACAAAAAAATGTAAAAAGAATGAATAAGACCTATTATTTGATAGTACAACAGGGTAACTGTGGTCAATAATAACTTGGATGTACATTTTAAGATCACTTAAAGAATGAAATTGGATTGTTTGTACCTCAAAGGATAAATGTTTGAAGGGATGGATACCTTATTCTCTATGATATATTTATTTCACACTGCATACCTGTATCAAAATATCCCTTGTACCACACCAGAGATGTATACATCTGCTATGTACTCATAAAAATTTAAAAAAATTTAAAATTATAAACTTTAGAAAAATTACAGTGTTTTCATCTAATTGATATTTTAAAAAAATCACATTATGACAGTGACAACTAAAAAAGCCATCTTGGAATCACAGATTTCATTTCACTCTCTCTCTATATATATTCTAATCAATTGATTCTACTGACAGCCAATTTGTTAACACTAAAAATCATCTTTATTTTAGGTTATTTTTAGGTTCATATTTTAGAAAACAGTAACTCACCAGAAATTGGATTTGTTAAGCTATTAGATAGAATAACAAAGAAAAAATAATAATCTGACATGACATTCCTCATTTTTAAAGATAATGATATCTGAAACTTAGAAGATAATGCTTTAATAATTATTATGGTTTTTCAAATTTATGATTGGTACATAATAATTTTGCATATTTATGGAGTAAACCTGTTATTATAATCCATGCATGCATAGTGTAATGATCAATTTGTGTGTATCACCTTAAATATTTATCATTTATTTGTGATGAGAACATAAGCCACTCTTCCAGGTATTTGAAATACACAATACATTATTGTTAACTCTTAGTCATTCCACTGCATAACAGTACAACAAAACATATTTATCCTGTCTAATAATAGCTTGGTACACATTGGCCAAGCTCTCACCATATCCCTCATTCTCATAACCTCCCAATCCTCTTGTAAACAGTATTATTATATTTTCCACTTTTATGAGAGTAACTCTTTAAATTTCATAACTAAGTAAAATCATCAAATATTTGTCTTTTTGTTAGAGGTTTATTTCACTCTGGATAAACTGGGAGAACATTATGGTTTAGCTTTTACTGGATATATATGCTAAATCTTTTGGATGTACTAAACCAATTCAAGCACCAATTTTCTTCATTTTCTCCTCCATATGCTAAATGCCTCATGAAGAAAACGTAAACATGCATAAAGCATAAAGCATTTACAGTATTCTTTATGTGTATAGGATTTCAAGCTCAGCTAGGCCAGTTTTAATAACTCTTCCTTCCTAATCTACTTCCAAGAGAAGCATTCTTAGTCCTACAGCACAGAAACTAGAGGATTAATGCAGGTCAAGAGAGACATGGAGAAGTAGATTTACAGTTTTGTGTGCATGTAAAATTCTAGATATACTACAGAGTTATGTGCCAAAATAGTTCCGAAGAGTCTGGAACATGATATATAATAGAATTATTGATGAGTTATTGTACAAGTTATGGTAAAATCCTCAAGCTTTATAGGTAAGGAGACATCATTAGATGACTTTAAGAAGAATAACAATTTACTTCACATTTTAAAAACACATAATTCTGTCTCAAGAACTGAGTGGAGGGGAGCAAGACTGCTGAAGACCGCAGGAAGGAAACAAAATATAGGGATGGGAGAGATATTTGGGAGATAATGATACAATTTGGTGGCTTACTGAAAATACAAAAATAAGGAATATGTTTGAGTCCAGTCAAGATGAGTCTAGAGCTTTTAAACATTTATTTTCATGTCAGTTGTTTAGAGGAGGAGAAAATATTTGGCAAAATATTAGTCTATTTCACATGTAATGTGCTTGAAATGTCAGGGAGGTGATTTGAAAAGTTTTTGAGTTGTATGTGTGCATTATGAGCCAGATATTCAGTAAGCCACAAATTCACAAAAGAGGATAGTTTTTCCTAAGAAGTATACGCAAATTGAGAGATAGAGAGGTCTTGGACATGAGCTCTTAATAATATCATTAACATTTTCAGAATAAATAGAGGTTGAATTATCAGCAAAGTAGAATGAATACAATTCATTAGAAGGAAACAATGAGGAAAATGTAATCAAAACAACTGAGGTTGCTGTAAATAATGATGATAGAGGACTATGTACCAACTAGAACATGGCTTTTATATTTAAAATATAAAAATCAACCATATGGGCTCTTCCTTTCAACCATAAGACAGAGCATGAAATAAAGCATGGAGAAGTGTGGCAAAGCGCAGCAAAAGGGAAGTGTAATAATGTATTCATAGAATGTTTGAACAAAAAGAGCTCGTTTCTGCTTAATGTTTTATGTAATCCTATCTTTTCCAAATGAAAACACAAAACTCAAATATATAATCTGAGTATTTACTGTTTATAATGTTTGAATAATTGGTTCCCATAGTGAAACTCTTAGGTTGTAACTGATTAACTATACTTTCTGCCTATGCAAATCCACAATTAAATACTATTTACTACTCAATTATTTACAGCAATAGTTAAATTGTGACCAAAAATAGTTAACAAAATTATTATCATATACCTAATATGATATAGAATTCTCATTGAGTTGATGAATTTTGAATGTTTATATTAAAAATAAAAATGCTTTAAAAATGCCATGTATGCATCTTATTTGTAAAGATCAAACAAAACTATTATACAATGCTCTAAGAGCTTTTGTGTAAATACGTACAAATATACACATATAGGCACTCATAAATACATATTTATGTGTTAGTTTTTTTAACTTTAGGAACTATACTGTATATCACATGTGTAAGTTTGTTAGATAAACTATTTTCTCAAATGCAATGACAAACACAAAAATAGAACATTTTAGTTTAAAATACCAATAAAATACATATTAGATATGCAAATAATTTAGTTTCCATTTTTTTACACTATGCATTTTATAATTATAATGTATAATATTAAATGCTGGTAAATGAACATATGTAGAAATTAAAATATGCTTTTATTGTTGAATAATACCAATATAAATGTATGTTTTTTTATCTGCCTAAGATCAGAAAAAAAATTTTAACTATCTTCAAACCAAAATATGATAATATCTATTTAACATTTAATAATGTAAAGATTATTAAACTGTGATTAAATGTGGACTAAATTTACTTATAAATTATTTCAAAGGCTATAGCCAACCGTTTTTCTAAAGATGACATAAAAGCAAGCAGAATTGAACTGGTTTGAATACTAGCTGAATTTCATTTACCTCTAATTAATTTCCATTGGTGTATTCTACACATCTGGAAAACCAGACTATTTCATATTTTGAGAATACGTAGTTCAATAATTTTCAGTGTTGAAAGTGATAAATGGCATTTCTGATCTATACTTATTTTTTCTAATAATTGTAAGCACATTATTCATCCCTTGTATACTGTTTTGGAGACATTGCAATTAAACAGCTAAATTTTCTTTTTTCTTTTCTTTTCTTTTTATGTTTCAGACAGAGTCTTGCTCTGTCACCAGGCTGGAGTGTGGTGACATGATCTCGGCTCACTGCAACCCCTCTTTCCCAGGTTCAAGCGATTCCCCTGCCTCAGCCTTCTGAGTAGCTGGGACTACAGGTGGGTGCCACAATGCCCTACTAAGTTTTTATTTTTTATTTTTTTTTAATTTTAGTAGAGATGGGGTTTCACCATGGCCAGGATGGTCTTGATCTCCTGACCTCGTGATCTGCCTGCCTCCACCACCCAAAGTGCTGGGATTAAAGCATGAGCCACCACATCAGCAAAAATTTCATAATGATAATTTATAAATCTTGCATATAGTAGTGCATAATGCAGAAATATTCCTTATTGACACAATATTTTTAAGGCAAAATTCCCCATCTGTGATCTTATGAAAATTTAGGTACATAAGTTATGAAAGATCTTAATAAAATCTTTATGAAAAAGAGGGTTTCACAGATAAACTGGGAAACAATGCATACTGTATCCCTGCTTGATGATTTGCAGTATTATGTTATTCAAATATGTAATAAATTTACAGAAAAAAGGCACTTACTAGAGCTAAGATGCTATTGCCTATATCAATTTTAATACAGAATTATTTTGTCACAACATGTTTATAGTTATTTTGTAGAATGTTAATTTGCAGTCTTATGTGACTATTTTTACAGATGTCCATTTAAAGCCAATTAAAAAAGCACAAATTTTTAAAATGCTGTATAATGGGTACTGTTTTAGGCATTTTAGAAATATTAACTGGTTTAAGTCTAATACCAAGGGTATGAGGGAAGTAACAAGGCTATGAGGGAATTTTTATTTCTATTCCACCAGTCAGAAAACTGAGGCAGAGACAGATAAAGTTAATTGCCCAGAATCACACAGTGAAAAAGCTGAAAGTTTGAGGATACAGACTCAGAGTCTGTGATTCCACAGTTGAGCTCGATTCATTGCACTGGCATTATTTTTATATAATCCTTACTTAATTGCTTTTTGGCCTTTTGGCTAAGATTAACTGTAATACCTGTTCTGATCAGTCTAATCTTTATTTTGTTCAACTTATTTCAATTTATTTATCTCACTGATTGTAGCAAGTAGAATTTGTTATATAAATTAGATTAACTCTATGTAGTAGTTACAGGTGGAAACTACTTCCACAAAGAAAGTAATTACAGTTGGAGCATGGGCTAAATTTTTAAGAAACTGATGACAGCAGGAGGATTAGCAAATCCACATGAAAGCTAAAACATGTAACAAGAGCAGCTGAAACACTGAACATGACTAACTGGAGTGGAGGTATTTGTGATCCCATGGAGAATACTCCTTGAAAACTTTTAGAATAGGAATTGAGTAAATGGCTTGAGATTCTCTATTAAGAGCAGGAAAACTGGCCAATAAAATTAGGGTGATTACTGTAGCTATCAGCACACAACTGCATTCACACACGAGGCAATTCTTGGAGAGTCTACTACCTTACTCTTCTTTACCCTGATCAAACTGAAACACATGCAAAGCAGGCCAGGCGTGGTGGCTCATGCCTATAATACCAGCACTCTGGGAGGCTTGTAAATTAGGTTATGGTATAGCAACTGAACCGATTGAAACAAGAATTGAGAAATTTTCACTTTATATAATCTTGTTGTTATTAAATAAATAGGTCAATATTCTCTGAAAATGTTGAGGTCAACAAACCTGGACTTGAGGATGAGCTTTTATATTTGATCTGTCAATTATTAATGATACATATATATATATTGTTGCTTAGTTTCTTCCCCTAAGAAAATGAAACTACGTAATTCCTAAAGTTTTTTAAATAAGTTCAAGGTTCGCTTTTGGTCAAATATTAAAAGATGCATTCATGTGTTTGTAATCACATGTCCTCTCTTTATGTGGTCAAACACCAAAGGAAGTTAGAGAAAGTTTCCTAGAAGTCTTATGTTGAAACTCAAGAAGTTCACATAAAAAAGGTGTTGATAGTTGTGTAAGGCACATTGATAAATCTACCATTCGTCCAAAATGTATTAATCAATTTCCAACTATGTACCAAGTATTGTGCCACCCTAGAGAGACAGCATTAAGCCAGTCTCAGCATTCATTATAGTTACATAATATTTGTGAAACCTGGCACATAAAGAGATTTACGGCCAAGAGCTAATAGCCTATGATAGAGATAAATATAGGAAATGGGTAAACTAGATCAACTAACAGATTTTATGAGTCACTAAGTATTTTTTTCTACGGGTAATGACCTAGAAACTTGGACACGAGGGGTACATGATTATTAACCAGACAAAGAATACTACAAGATAATGAGAAAAAAATGCCAAGATCTGGAGGTGAGATGAATGTGGTGCTTGAAAATTGTAATTAAAGTTTGGCTGGAATGTTGAATTTAAGAATCACAGCCAGGCACAGTGGCTCACACTTGCAATCACAGCACTTTGGGAGGCTGAGGCAGGAGGATCAATTGAGTTCAGGAGTTCCCTTATAGAAATTTCTATAAGGTCTGGATCCTGACAACAATACAAACTAACTTTTCAACAAGTACTTCCTCAACAGTTCCACCTCTGATTCTTTTTTTTTTTTTTTCTTTTTTTGAGACTGAGTCTCACTCTGTTGCCCAGGCTGGAGTGCAGTGGTGCGATATCTCTGCTCACTGCAACCTCCACCTCCTGGGTTCAATGGGGTTACAGGCATCTGCCATCATACCTGACTGACTGCTTTATTTTTAGTAGAGACGGAGTTTCACCATGTTGGCCAGCTTAGGAGATTTCCTAAGGAAAGCATTAAAGTGGCATGGTCCATTTAAGGTATAACAGTTTATCTCTTAAAAAGGTAAGTAATAATTAAAATAAACAGTGAAAGTACTTGTTTTTGATTTCTAGTGTCCTTTCCAAACCAAGTGAAATTTCAAAATGTTAAGTTCCATCAACATAAAATATTGCTCTAATTCTCTTTATTCCTTCAACCTTTTGTCTCATAGGTATGGGATTTCTCATGGATATATAAAATGTTATTGATGTAGAAATAGCTGTGATATAACTGGTCCCTTTCAGTTAATGCTAAATTGCTTGAACTTAATCTGGTGTTTTGTTTAAAAAAAAAAAAAACTAATGCAAATGAAATTTGGTAGTTTATTTGAGCTTAGAACAATTTATAAATTAGGTAGCACTCAGAACTAGAAGTTCCAAGAGCTCTACCTATCAGAGTGAGCAATCAACTTTCATTTCACAGGAAGAACACAGATGTGAAGTAGGGAAATCACCTGATTGGCTACAGCCAGATGTTTGCCTAAGTTGGACATGCTGTGAAGAGTGGGCTGCCTTTGAAAGGCTGAAGCCCAACTGTGATGACCAAGATGTAGCCATTTGTTATAACCCGAAGTTAGATTGCATTTTGGTACTTAGGAACTCAAAATATGGGAGACGGTCTCATGCTAGTGGCCTCTTGCTTATTAAATTTCAAAGTTACCCCAGGCTTTGCTCTCTGTTGGCACACCAAGGAATCCGTCTCAGGGAGCATCTCTGGAACAATTAGAGGATTCTCATAAAAATACTATCACATGTCTTTTTTAGTCTAGAGAATTTATTGTTTATTCATTATCACAATGGTAACATTTTAATATTTGTCAATTTAAAAATACTCTCTGAAGTCTTTCTTCCATATTCATTTACTGAGTGAGAAAAGATACTTTGACCTCTACCACATTTGTTTGATATTGCATTTCTTCTAAACATTCACTTTTGGTAAAACTTTAGCAAAAGGAAATTTAATTTGTCAATATTTTTCCTACATTGTTCCTTCCAGTTTTGCAAGTAAAATATTTAAAAGTTTAATTAAATATATTGTATGAAATATGAATATTTCAACCAGCAAAGAAATAGAATGATTGCTTTATTAATAATTTATTCAATTATAATCAGACACCAATCTTAGCATAATCACAAGATTGGGCTTAAATGCATAAATTGGACTGAATTTTGGAATACACTGGATATAAGACTTGAGGTATACTGAATACACTGGATATAAAACAGCTGATGTCAGTAATAATGACTAATATTTCAAACCTGATTTAGACTGAATTTTGGGGTACACCGAATATAAGACATTGGGGTACACTGGATGTGACACAGTTGATGTCACTAATAATGACTGATATTTCAAACCTGATTTAGTAACATAACTGCCATTTATAGTTGACCCTTGAACAGTATGTGTTTGAACTGTGCAGGTCAACTTATACTCACAAGTTTTTTTTTGCCTCTGTCTTCCTTAAGGTAGAAAGACCAACAGGTATTCCTCCTTCTCCTTAGCCTACTCAGTGTGAAGATGACAAGGATAAAGATCTTTATTATGATCCACTTCCAGTTAATGAATATTTTCTTTTCTTTATGATATTCTTAATAACATTTTCTTTCCTCTAGGTTACCCTCTGGTAAAAACACAGTGTATGATACATATAACACATAAGATATGTATTAATTGACTTAATTTTATCAGTAAGTCCTCCAGTCAACAGTGGGCTATTATAAGTTAAGTTGCTGGGGAGTCAAACATTATACATGAACTATCGACTTCATGTTGTTTGGCACTCCTAATTCCCATTTTGTTCAAAGCTCAACTATGTCAGAGTGTTATAAATAAACAACTGTAGCTTTTGGATATTTCAAATAATACATTTGTATATTGATGGGAATAAAAATTTTCTTACACTGAAAGAAATCAAAACAAAATATTTTGGGGAGCAATTAAAAGAGAGTTTGAAGACTCTTTTGAAAAGCTGACCTACTTATTTGGGTCAATATAGTTTTTTACATTTCACATTGAAGAAGGTAGTATGCTAGAAAACTGAATTAACTAACTTTTGGTGTCAAACATTAATATCAATATTAAAGTGTTGAAATGCATTTTATATAAATGTTCTTTAGAAACTTGCTCAAGCATAAAGAGCAAAAAAGGAAAGTTTTTCTTTGAGATGTCAATTATAGATTCTATTGGAAATACTACATAACTTATTAAAATATTCAAAGTCTCATTTAAGTTGAAATTATTATGTGTAATGCCATTAAAATCACAGGCTCTCCTGGTAATCCATATTCAATGGAAGAATGAATAAGCTCAAAGTTTAAAGACTTTTTCAATTTATTGCCAATCTTTACCATAAAGACTATTAATTATTTTTGGTACGCCCCAATTTATTATTCAATACAGAAAAGGAAATGATCTATATAGTACAATTGGTTCTAATATCATTGGATTGCACATCAAAGGAGTGTTAAGTATGAGAGGTAGCAATTGTTCCAAGTGTTAAAGCAGATGTGAATAAAATATATCACAATTCATTTGCATTTCAGAAAAGTATCTCTATGTTTCATACTACACAAAATGGAAATGATGATACTATTTCAAATATTTGTGAGTTTAACAAGAGAAAACTATGAGTAAAGAAAGTATTTATGAACTGTACAATCAAACTATGATTTCTCAATAATTAGTAAAATGAGCATAATGATTATGGGACAATTTTGAAGATTAAATGAGATAACAGTCAAGTGAACAAAAAATATTTATCTTATTGTAAGCACTGAAGAAAAGTAGATATTCATCACAGTTAAAAAATAATCACATACTTCTTTGCACTTATTTAAAGCATTATTTTTAGAAAGACAAACATTGTGTTAAAATATATCACATGTCATTTAATGAAAGAAGAATGTTTTGTTTGGAATTCCAAATTGTTCAGAATGTGTTAATTGGATTTATTATATATTTCCTATGTCAAATCTAAAAAATATTAAACAGTAAGAAATTTACCACGGACTACAATTTGTAGATAATTATCAGTCCTTGTCCAGTTTATTGGTCTCTGTTACAGAAACATTGACAAATAAAACTTCTTTTTCAAAAGAATCAACTGTCACTCCCAGGTTAATATTTAGCAACTATCCATTGACTCATTTGTCTAAAGTGGCTTAAAAGCATTGGAGTTTGTATCTCACTTTGTTTTATTTGTAGGCATGAAGATGTAGGCTTTACTGAAGAAATAGTGAGAGGGTTGATGCACAGGGACTAAGATAAGGGTGCAGTAGAAATAAAGTAGCTTTCCCTTTTAGAAAGAAGAACATTTGAGTTTACCAGGGAACATAATAGAAGTTCTGGATCTCTGA